TTCATATATTCCTTGTTCGTTGACGTATCACCCGTTGGACAAAGAAATATCCCGACAAGGTACAATAGAACTCGGGCCTTCAGCTCATCCCCAAGTAAGATCCACTTTTGATATCTCTTCAACTTCAGTATATGTCACCTTATGATTCAAACCATATTTGGAGGCAAGTGCTTTCCAGTTCTTACTCCTACAGACTTCTATAACACTTTTGCCTTTGTTTTGTACCCCAATACGGCTGCAGCAGTCGATACCCCCAGAGGGAATGAATAATCACCATACTTAGCCATACATTGACTGACGTCAAATTGTGCCATCAAGGATCGACAATTCCCTCCGAATAGGTCGATCCCTTACTCCGATCAACGATCCAAAACCTATTTCTCACAGCACATTCAACTGACCCTTCTCCTTAAGGTGTTTAATTAATAAATTCACCCTTTTAATGCTGCATCTTGTCGACACTTCCTACATTTTTTAACAATATAATGTTATAGTTCTTATATATTTGTATCAACGTATTTACAAGTTTAATGAATACCTTATTTTCATGTGCTTTCCTCCGTTCTTTGTATTCTTTACTATCATTCCTTGACTGTGTGATGTAAGGTTCCTTTTCAGCATCACTCATTGAATTCCATTTGGACCTCACATCTTTTTCACCTAATATTAAACATAAACGTTTCTTAATCAATACATTAACACTAAATACTAATACTACTCAATGTCAATTTCATTTTACATACGAACCGCTCTGTGTGCCATCTCCCTTCATCATTTTGCATTCGGCCATACTGTTAACATTTAAAATTTGTAATCAATTTAAAGTTTATCGATACTTTAATCCAATTACCATTTCAACAATAATAACAAAAAGACATTGATACTTACTAGAAGTACATATATCCACCCTTTGGTTGCTTTCGAGTCTCGGCCTCAATTCAAAGTCATCTGCTCCACCAACAATTTTCCAACCCATTGACTCCATTTTTCCTTCATATATCAGTTTACGCAAATCAAATTATTTTGTTACATACACTTTTCAATATACAATATAGATAACTACTCTTGTGGTAAAACGGTTTTCTTCAAAAGAATTTGAATGGCCACACCAAAATGTGTCGGCACATTTATACAACCTATAATATCATTTTCTACCTATAATATTTAATAAAAGTATCGACATTTATATTTTTCCTTGAATATCTATTTCTACCTGCAATCGGTCCCAAATGCTTCCTTACTCCAAAACCCCAAACAACACATAAAAAACCCTATCGCGATTACTGTAATAATAAAAAATTAGGGTTTCGACAACATACTTTTCGATTCGACTGCAGCAACAAACAAACAAACTTCGCTTTAGAAACGCCTTCTGAAATGCAGCAACAATTACTCTTCGATTTCAAAAACTCGTCCGTTCTATCTTTTTTCAGAGGATATTTAGCTATGGCCTTTATATTTTCATCGGATATTTATTTATATTTAATCGATACAAATACAAAAGTGTCGATACTTTTATGTCAGGTGTCGATACTTTCGAAAGGATAATTACCTATTTCTTTGAAAGTGTCGATAATTTATTACACGTACTTACGAAAGTATCGACACTTTCAATATATCCGGTATCATTTTACCGGTTTATCATTTTGATACCGGTTTATCATATTTTACCTGTTATATCGTTGTGGATCGATATATTTTTTTAAAGTATCGACACATTATAGGCGCTATAACTGCTTCTCTTTTAAATTCACAAAGTGTCGATCCTATATAACGTATCGACACTTTTAAATTTACCGTTTTTATCATTTTGTTACCGGTTTTATCATATTTTTACCTGGTATATCGTTTTGGATCGATATATTTTTAAAAGATCGACACTTTTTAGGATTTAAAACTGCTTTTAAAGTTATGTAATTTATGTTTCAATTTATTTAATAGTGTTTCATGTTTTCCACCTACAATATTAATTTAATAATTTAATTTACACAAAATTTTATTTGATTGTTTTGATATTTTATAAAATATTATTTAGAATTTAAATTTAACAATATTAACCAAATAATTTAATAAATGTTTTCAACAGTGAAATAAGTATGGACACTTTTATAAAAATGATATATACTTTTTTGAAAGTTATGTAATTTATGTTTCAATTTTTTTAATAGTTTCATGTTTTCCACCTACAATATTAATTTAATAATTTCATTTACACAAAAAATTATTTGATTGTTTTGATATTTTATAAAATATTATTTAGATTTTAAATTTAACAATATTAACTAAAGATAATAATAAATATATTTTCACAGTGAAATAAGTATGGACACTTTTATAAAAAGGATAGATAATTTACAATATAACAGGTAAAAATATGACAAACCATATTCATTATGACAAACCGGTAAAATTTACTTGATGTTAAACGTATGGACACTTTTATAAAAAGGATAGATACTTACGATAACCAAAGTTTACGGTTACCAAATTTTTTAATAGTTTTTCATATTTTCTACCTAAAACATTATTAGTTGTCAACATAATAGGTACCGCTAAACCGAATTTATTAAATACATTTTAATGTATCCGGTAATGATGTATATTAGCCGTATATTAACCCGCCTTTCCTGAGACAATCCCAGTATAGGTTGGTTCAAAATTCAACGAGACTAGTAGAGGCCTAGAGGGATAAAGATGATTTTGGTTTAAGGGTTAATGAAGGTATATAGGGAAGATGAGTCTGGTGACGAGTAAGGCGTGGTTTAGGGTTCAACGGGACTAACTAAAGGAGTAGGATGGTTTCGATTTAAGGGTTAATGGACGTAGATGGAGAGATGTGTCGAATAATGGGGAAAATGTGTAGTTTAAGTTGGGGTTTAATGAGCCTAATAAAAAGGGGGTAAGATTATTTGAGTCGAATGACTTTCTATAATCAAATTAAATCGGATTAATTCTTTCTAACGTTCAACTACCTTGATGGACGAGACTATACCAACAAGGTTGAAATCACAAAAAGAAGAGCATAAGTTGAGCTTTCAATTGTGCTTCAACCATTGAGGCAAGCACTGTTATTGCTCCAAAAGTTGTTTTTTAGCGCAGATTAGAAGCAACGTGTGACAAATCAATGGGATATAATCAATATCAATTTGGGAATGCTAAAAACGTACATCCTTTTAATTATCTTTTGATAAAGATGACACATTGCTAAACAACACAAAATAGCTTCACCTTAAAATCAAGGGGAGATATATGTTGTATTTAAGGGAGCAATTGCATACCAATTATTTTTAGAAAAAGTATTAATTTTAGTTTAGTTTGTTAATGATAATAGAAAAAATAAGAAAATTTACATACTCGGATCTTTTTAGCATATAGTATTAAGATTTTAGATTCTATTTTTTAATTTCTAGATTCGTCGTTTCTCAAATTTTGGGCTTCTGCCTTTGTGTCAACCTCCAAAAACCAACCTGGAAACCGTAAAATTATATGGAGTCTAAATGCTGAACCTTCACGGTATTGTTATGCATCAAAGAATAAGGAATGAAGGAACTGATTTGGCTAAAACTTTGTTTTCAGTACAAGTCTAGAAGAATACGACTTGGAGGCTATAATTTGGTAAGCAACTTCTACCATAGGCTTTCCATATATGATAATAAATTCAAAATCCAAGTAACTCTCTTACAACAGAATTTTTGTCATTATGTGTATTTTTATTAAAAAAATACTTTAAACTTTATGAAAAAATATTTTAAAAAAAATGAAAGAAAAGTTTTATATAAAAATAAATTAAAAAATCTCAAATCTCATAAATTAAAATGTCACTCTTTACATGAATCTTAAATTTCTAAATTACGAAACTGGATTTCAAGTTAAAATTTCATGATAAAAGAGTATTGTAATAAAATCATTGATAATGTTACATCAATTAAAAGGTTTGTTGCAATAATAAATGCATATTGTAATGACCCAAATTTCAATTAAATTTGAATGCGTGGGTTAAAGTGGAATTAGACCAGTTTAAATAGGGTCGGGATAGGACCCACCGAATCAGGCTTATATGCATGTGTGCAGGAATTTGAATTTAATTAAAGAATTAATCATAGTTTAATTTTTTTTATAATTTTGTGGTGAGTACAAGATAATATCTGTTAAAAAACTCACAACCATTTAATATTTAACGCCTATATATTTGGAATACATAGTGCTCGAACCTGAAACTTTAAATAATAATACAAATTACTTAACCACTAAGGTCGTTTAATTCGTGTTCATAATTTAAATTTATAGAGACACGAAAGTATGTTTTAATAATTTTTAAATATCAAATAATTAATGCTCATTCAAACACAAGTATAAGATTTTTTATTTCATTTGTCATGTTTCTACGGTAAAAATGTGAGTACTAAATGTGATTTCATATTTTTATTTATCAATTCTGTTTTTAATTTAAAAATAAAAAAAAAATTTAGAAATCAAAGCAAGTGGTTGCGGTATCATTTATTGATCATGAAGTTACATTTCCAAATTATCTTGTTCCCAATATCTAAATATAAATCCGATGCATTTCGTATATTAAAAATAAAGATCCACAAAATAGTAATTTATCCACACATCATATGAATCTAGTTCCAAGTACAACGAGGCATGCCGTATGGCGGTGGGCGGATGCTTGTTTCTGCGGTGATTCCGTTCCTCACAATGAAAACAGTGTCCATTCCCCAGCTAGAATGCCGGTCGAAATGACAGTGCATAAACCATAAACCACACCCCTGCATATATATATATACACACACACATATCCATTAGTTAATAAATTTTGTTTTAAGAAAGATGGAAAATTATCTAAATGAAAACTCATCGGGATTGTTTGCGAAAAATTTGAGGGCAACCCATCCTCTACCGGGAACGTGGACAGTGTTAATAAGTGGTGGATCAACCAGATTGTAGGTGCTTGGATCAGTCTCATTGTTGAAATTTCCAGTACCAGCTCCCACCCAATAAAAGCTAAAGACATGCTAATGGATCGGGTGACTTCCACCGGAACCAATCTGGGTTGCTTGCAGCACAATCTCAACTGCATCGCCATAGTTTAGCATAACAACCTTCGTCCCTGTATCAGACATCGTGGTTAAACCAGTCAAGTCCCCGGTGAAATTATAAAATTCCGGTGGACTGAGGGGGAAATCTTCGGTGAAAACACCACTGGTGCTCCTGAATTATTTGGAAGAACTCGTATAAGAATTAGATACAGTTAATGAAACTACTTTTTCTTTGCTTACGTACATGTTGTAGTATGCGTCAAGAATGTCAATTTGCGGGAAAACAAAGCTGACATTGTTCAAACTTGCAGCAAATCTAATTGGTGCAAGACACTGAGGTGTTGCACGGCAAGGTGTTTGCGCCGATTGCGATGTACAGTTGTCTGTTGATATCCGAATTGGCCGGCACATTCAATGGCGGATTTTGAGTGATATTCGTGTTCCTAATTCGACTGATGAAATTATCCCTAGCATTGCTATCGTTTTCTGCGGGAAAGTTCGCTTTCGGTTAAAAAAAAACAGAAGCAACTGTCATGTTTATCCTCGACTCTTTAATCCTTGATTTCTGGGAGAAATTTTTTCATAAATTTTTCTTGTTACGCTATTTATGATACCAACCACTAAAAATTATCTATTTTGTACTTTTTTCCTCTATAATTTTAGGTGATTTAAACTCATTAATTACGCGATGAAAAAGATTCATGAAATAATTTTTGGTTTTATTATCATGTCATTAAGTAGTTGAGACGCACATGTAGGAAAATGGTAAGGAAAAAAGGGCACTCACAAAGAATTCATAGTGATGCACATCTGCTGCACAGCAAAGGAACAAAGTGCTTAGAAATAAAACTCCTACATACAAAACCTTTCTTCCCTAGCCCATTTTGCTCCTCCTAATGTGTTCTTAGTTATCCCCTGAATTTTCCTTTCTCTGTCTTTGGGTCAGAAAATACAATTTATAGAGAAGAAAGATTCTTTCTTGGAAAAGAGAGAAAAAATCTCCCAATATTTATACATATTAATAAAGAAACTTGCATTTTCTGAAAGAAAATAAGTACACGTCACATGCCATGTAAGCTTGGAAAGTTGGATTTTTATAGATACATCAAATTCAAAAAGTTAAATAACAAATTAAGTTTCTTGCTGGAGGGGGCAAAAACCTAATCCTCCAAAGTATGTATATAAAATGAAACTTTCTTTTTCAATCGAAAAATAAAATGGAACTTTCATTTTCAATCGGGAAAAAAAACACTTAGAATTTTGATCCATTCATACCAACTTAGTATTTACAATTTGTTGAATTTTTTTTAGTAGTCTATGTGATTATAAGGTAATACATGTTTAGAATTTTTTTAATTTATTGACAATGCATATGCACTTTGCAAATACAACTACCTGTTGTTTTTTTGTTTTTTTATGATAATCTAAAGTTATTGCAAAGTAGTTTATGTTCATAATTTTTTAATCAATTAATAACGCGCACACCCTACAGAGAGAATAAAACATTCTCTTGTGATATTATCCATTTAACATTTATAAATAATATTTTGTGTTCATAGGTTAAATATTTTTTTGAACAATTTCTACTTAGGAGATGGGGAATGAAAATTTTACTCCATGAATATAGAATCCATAACTTAGAGAAGAGAGAATGTGTCAACCTAAAACATTTAACCACTTGTTTTATAAGTTATTGAAATATTTTTGAAAAGTAACTATAAGTTTGAAACAGTATTAAAACATAACAATAACATTACATATATCAATAGAAAAACAGTAGAACCTTGGTTTTGATATAGACATGAGAATTCAATATCTTCCATACGGTCGTGAATATAATTTTATTAAGGGTTAAATCTACCATTGCCCCTTTAAACTATATTTTTTTTACCTAGATTCCCTTTAAAGTATTTTTGGAACATTTTTCCACTAAACTTTTAGTCACTATAATTCCATTTCGCTATCTCATTTGTCTCAAACATTTAATTCCATAAAAACACGGTTAAATTACATATTTAGTCACTCCAATATTTATGCGATTTTGTTTGAGTTACCTAACCTTTTTTTCTTCAAAATCATCACTAAACTTAAGTTTTTGTTACATTTTGGTCACCCAATTTGATTCAATTTATTTTTAAAATTTTTAATGTATAAAAATTCGTATATATTATATTTTTTTACTCGACACATAAATTTATTTTTCAATAATAAATAATATTATACAATGAATAATAAATAATATATTAAGTTATAAATAACGCAAATAATAAATAATAAATTGACAACAACAACAAAAAAAATTTGAAACCAAACCAAAATTTAAGCAAAAAAATAGCTATTAAAATTGCATCCAAAGTCCAAAGAAATCTACCCCAAACAAGCTAGGATCGGGGCTTTTGTAAGTGTTTTCCCGTAGTAAGATCTACGTTTCCAAACAATTAAAATAAAAGAGAAAATATTTGAAAAAAAAGAAACAACTAAACCAATAAAAATAAAAATACCTCCAAAGAAGAAAGTTTTTAAAAAAGCTTAAAGATGTCGATCGATGGCGGTGTAGACAGTGCATGTAACACCCCCAACCCGTATCCGACCCGGATACGAGTCCGAAGTGTCACATTGACTTTTCAAACATTTATTCGTATAAAATAGTGAGTAATTCAAAAAACTTGGATAACATTTAACTTATTCAAAACGTTTACAAAATATATCAGAGTTCATACAATTTATCTTTAGACTACATGCCAACTACACTTATATACCGTACATATATTTTGATCTGACAATTGGGTAAGGAGAACTGACATGTCTTGCTCCTCTTAGCTCTTTACTCTTCTCACTTCTGTAACTACGTGTGAAACAATCACACGCTAAGTCGTTGACTTAGTGAGGCATAAAACATATAATAAAACTCTAACTAATCATGCTTGAACAATTTCTACTAACATATCACATACAAGCATCATACCCACATATACATATAATGATTCCTTACTATGCACCTTTCATATAGATATATATATATATATACATATCCACCACATACATATAATTATCTTCTTTCCTATCATTATCTATTATCATTTTCATTTCTCTCTTGTTCATAAATCATTAAGCTCATATCATATATCTTATAGCATATACAATAATCACTAACACATATATTATACAGTACATTCCATGTTATCTCTTATTAGCCCATGTGCACCTCTGAGAACTGTAGATATGTGAGTCTATTGAGGTTGTGCACCACTATGCTGTCACCACAGCTCATATAAATGTCCCGAAGGACCTATCCAGAGGTCACACAGATCCCGGTAACTATCCATAGGTCATAAAGATCCTCGGTAACTGTCCAGAGGTCATAAAGATCCTCGGTAAACTGTCCAGAGGTCATAAAGATCCTCGGTAACTGTCCATATGTTCCTTAGAACATAGGTATACTGTCCATTTGTCTCGAAAGACATAGGTAAAACTGTCCATATGTTCCGTAGAACATAGGTAAACCCTCGACTCTTGGCATGCCAACTATACCCCTAGCTCTCATGACACATAACATGGGCGTTATCATTTATTTCATTTCAAATATTCACATACACTTGTAATTCACTTTCACATATCACGTATCACATAGCTTCTTTTCATATTATCACATAGTCACATAGTTCACTTACACGTAGATCATTTCCATATAATTCACAGGTCACATATATCATGTTTCATATAATTCTATCATTTCTCACCCAATCACCTTTATTCATATAACCATACTTATCATATCTTGTTCACATAAGATCATATACTATGGGCATTTATTTATACATTTCGTATCACTTGTTCTCTCTCTTCTGTCACATACCACAGGTATGTGTAACCATATATCTCATATCATATCACCTGTATCACAAGTGCATGTATTCACGTAGATCGTTTCATATGACTTATACCATTTCTCATTTGTTCATGTAACTTGCATGTCATATCGTGTAACATATAACACATAATCATATAGGCTTACGGTTTTATCACCTATCATGTTATTTCACTTATACACTTTTATATCACATAAACTCATATATATATAGATCATGTCACATAACTTATCTCATAACTTATTTGATATTCCTATATATTCTCATCTTATAACTTATATTACCTATGCATATAACCTTATGAGCTATTCTTATATTACCCTATATCAACCATACTTTGTTTATCTCACTTTTCATATCATTCATTCACAAGCATGTTAACACATATAATCATGCATATACAATTTATGTCATGCATATACATATAATCATATATTCATGCATTAAACATAGGAAATAGACTTGTCACAAGTCTTGTTTCCATTTAGCACCATAAATGAATTAATATGCACTCACCTGGCCTCACTAGTCCATTTCAATCTCTTATTCCCTTTTTATCGATCTTACTTGTCAATGATTCCGGAACTCGTTTAGGCTCTGAATCTACATAATTATACAATTTAAGACAATTATTAGATATACACCTTTAATTGGATACTAGCAACTTAAACGAACTTATTAAACCAATATTAACATTTTCCTTTAGGGGGGAATCGGTTCCCTCCTGTGGGGGTATCGGTTTCCCCTCTGGCATTCTGGAATTCTGTCGTTTGAATGAGTATCAGTCCCCTTGAATGGGTACCGATTCCCTTGCCCAGAAATCATATTTTTAGCTCGAAAATCACTTCATTTTCTCTCAAACACTTCATATATCATCCCCTTTTCATTCTTAACTCTAGTACACATACTTAAACCAATCTATATTCATTTAGTTCATCTTAAACCTCAAAATCCTATCATCCATATAAGATTCAAAAATCATACCAAATTTTCTATATGTTCTAAATCCAATTATATCACTCCAAATCTCTTAATTTAACTATTTACAAGTCAAATTTAACTTCAAATTCTACTTATCAATTCCTTTCCAAAATTTCATATAAAAATTCCAAATCTTTAATCTCTCTTAACCCCTTCATCCTTTGTTTTTAAGATGATTTAAGCTTTCCTTAAGCTTAGTTATCATCTAATAATCAAAACCCAACCTTAAAATCAACAATTCATTTACAAACAAAGAAACTTACCTTTGGCTTGCTCTCCACGTATGAAGAAGAAGAAACGAGAAGAGCACTCTGGAGAGTTCTCTCCCTTTTCACGTGTATATAATTCCTTGAATGATCAAATGACCATTTAACCCTTAATTTCCTTTAATAATTACTAAATAACCTTCAATATATATTCAAATAATCATTGAATTATTTCATTCTTCTACTTTAGTCATCAAATTCTGAAACTTTACAATTTGATCACTAACCCGGTATTAAGGATGTTACAAATCTCCCCTCCTTATAAGAAAATTCGTCCTCGAATTTTCACTGCACATCTTAATAGGAACATATCTTCTAATGTTCTTATGTTGCTTCCCTGACTTATTCTTTCTTGTCATCATCAGAAACTTAC